ACTCCTTTCATCTTGTAGAACTGACGTTCTGTAGCTGTTAAACAATAACTTTCTGGTCCCTCTTCCCAGCCCTTAACAACCATCATTATACTTTCTGTCTGTACGATTTTGACTACTGTTAGGTACCTCATATAAATGGAATCATATAGTGCTTGACTTATTTCAGCTAGCGTAATGTCCTCAAGGTTCATCCATGTTTTAGCATATCGCAAACTTTCTTTTCTTTTTAAGCTAGAAATATTCCATTTTATGTGTATACCATATTTTGCTTATCCCTTCATTGATAGACATTTGGGCTGCTTCCACATTTTGGTTATTGTTATAAGAATTCTTACTGTTATAAGAATTCTGTTATGAACATGGGGGTTCAAATATCTCTTTGGGACCCTGCTTTCAATTTTTGGGGGGTATACACCCAGAAATTGCTGGATAATTTGGTAATTTTATTTTTATTTTTTGAGGAACTGCCATAATGCCATAATGTTTTCCACAGCAGCTGTACCATTTTACATTCCTACCAACAGTGCGCAAGGGTTCCATTTTCTTTATATCCTGATCAACAATAGTTGTTTTCTTTTTAAAAATATTTAGCCATCCTCCTGGATGTGAGATTATTATTTCATGGTAGTTTTGATTTACAGTTTTGTAAGGACTAGTGATGTGCATCTTTTCATGTGCTTATTCATAAATCTTTTTTGGTGGAAAGTCTATTCAAGTGCTTTGTTCATTTTTTAATTGGATTCTTTTTAGTTCTGTGTATTCTGGATATTTGTCTCTTATTAGATACACACTTTGCAAATATTTTCTCTCTGTTGGCTGACTTTTTACTCTGTAGGTAGGGTCTTTTGATATACAAAATTTAAAAATTTTCATGAAGTTCAATTTGTTTACTCTTTTTGTTGTTATCAGTGCCTTTGGTGTCATATACAAGAAAGCATTGCATTGCCAAATCCAATGTTGTGAAGCTTTTGTCCTGTGTATTTTTGTAAGAGTTTTGTTGGTGGTGGTCTTATATTTAGATCCTTGATCCATTTTGAATTCATTTTTATACATGGTATTAGGTATATATGGTATCATTCTTTTGCGTGCTAGATATCCAGTTTTCCCAGCACCACTTGTTGAATGTTCTTACCCCATTGAATGGTCTTGGCACCCTTGTCAAAAATCATTGGCCAAATATGGACGCTCTATAGAATATATGAGGAAATATTCTGAGCTCTCTATTTTATTCCATTAGTCTGTATGCCAGGCTTTATGCAAATACCACACTGTTTTGATTATTGTAAATTTATAATAGTAAGTTTTGAAATTAGAAGTGTGGGTTCTCTGTATTCTTTTCAAGATTGTTTTGGCTATCTGGGGTCCCTTGATTCCATGTGAATTTTTGGATAGGTTTTTCTGTTTCTGGGGAAAAAAAGTCATTGGGATTTTGATAGTGATTGTGTTGAATCTGTAGATCTCTTTGGGTTGTATTGATATTTTAATAATATTAAGTCTTTCAATCCATGAACATGGGATGTGTTTTCACTTATTTGTTTTTAATTTCTTTCAGCATTGTTTTGTAGTTTTTATGTACAGGTTTTTCACTTTCTTGGTTAAGTGAATTCCTAAGCATTTTATTCTTTTTGATGTTATTGTGAATGTGATTGTTTTTGTAATTGCCATTTCAAGTTGTTCATTGTGTATAGAAATGCAAATGATTTTTGCATGTTGACTTTGTATCTTGCTACTTTGCTGAAATTGTTAATTCTAACAGGTTTTATTTTTTAATGGAATCATTAGGATTTTCTATAAATAAAATTCTATCATCTGCAAACAGATATTTTTACTTCTTTCTTATTCGAATGTCTTTTACAGGTACTTCTTTTTCTGACTAACTTCTTTGGCTAAAACTCACCATACTGTGTTGAATAGACATGATGAAAGCAGACACTCTTGTTCTTATTTTAGTAGAAATGTTTTCAGTTTTTCACCATTGAGTATGGTGTTCACTGTGCATTTTTCATATATGGCATTCATTATATTGAAGTACTTGTATTTCTAGTTTGTTGAGAGTGTTTTTATAATGAAAGGGTGTTGAATTTTTGTCATGCTTTTTATGTATCACATGAGATGATGATGTAGTTTTCTTCCCTTTTATTAATGTGGCATATTACATTGCTCAATTTTTATATGTTGAACCATCTTTATATTCCAGGAAGAAATCCCACCTAGTCTTGGTGTATACCTTCTAATATGCTACTGAATTTGATTTGCTAGTATTTTATTGAGGATTTTTGCATCCATATTCATGAGGAATGTTGGTCAGTAGTTTTCTTGTTATGTCTTTATCTGGCTTTAGTTGTCAGAGTAATGCTAGCTTCATAGAATAAGTTTAAAAGTGTCCCCTTCTCCTCCTCCTCTTCTTTTTTTTTATTTTTAGAAAAGGTTAGTGTTTTTAAATGTTCACTAGAATTCAGTAGTGAAGTCATTGGTTCCAGGGCTTTTTGTTGTTCACAGATTTTTGATTACTGAGTCAATCTTCTTACTAATAATAGGTCTATTCAGATTTAAAGAATCATTGTTTTAAAGTAGTCTTGGTTTTAAAAGCCTTAGTATCAAAACAATATAGCATTACTATTGTGTTTCAAAAGAATACCCATATTCTACTGCCCTAATCCATTTGGTTATATTTTTGTTGAGAATGTATCTATACGTATATGTTTTAATTAAGGCATAATGTGTGTAAATTCTTTTCATGTTGTCTTTATTTATTTGTTACTTAACGTTTTCCCACTATTATTTGTATAGTCCCACCTATTTCCCTATTGCCTTCGTATGTTAGAGAATTATGCCATATCATGCAGTGTTATATCAGAAAGATATTGTGTGGGTCTGAGCAGTGTTTTTGTTGTTGTTGTTTGTTTTGTTTTTTGACTGGTGTCAATGGGATGGTCAGTGGCTTCCTGGATACTGTGTTCTATGTGACTTTGTAGGGGGGTTCTAACTTGGATTCAGAATTAAACAAATTAATCATATCACCTTCTATGGGAGAGTGTGAAGAGGTTTCTTTTGTAGTCACATACAGTATATGTATTACACATACATACACATTTACATATACATGTATCTGAATATGATAGATATCAAAATCTGTTCAGAACTTTGTGATAAATGGTCTGCTTTTCAGTGGCAATGGAACTATGGTAAATATTGTTAGTTTTTAAAGAGTCCTAGGTAAAGTTGTTTTTCTGAAAATAAAAGTGTTTAAACTTCAGTTTTCACAAAATAGTAAGCAGTGTGTCAGACGTTATTTTAGTAGTAGGTAGATAAGTGAATTTGGGGAGGAAAACCTATTGTATTGTACACATTCTCAGTTTCTGTCTTTTCGCAGGGCTGCTGACAATAATAAGCCAATCAGAATCATTTTAAATTTTACTTAGACTTTTCAAAACTTTGTCATATTTTGTAGACATGCTAACAGTGATTCATAAATGAATGTTTTTGTTAATTTTATATTTGCTTATTTTTAGATTGTTGTAATGTTTAAAAACTTGAAAAAGGAAATCACAGTTTATTTAACAACATAATTAATTTATAGCATTTGATATTAGTGATTATAATGTATACAGAGCCCTCAGAACTCTTTAAGATTCTTTGGGAACTCAGTTTGGCAATGTGTTTTTGTAAATGTTGCTTAATTGCACATTAGGGTGTGATTTGTTCCTCCTAAACCTTCTCTTTTTTCTTTTCTTGTATACTTGCCCTTCCCAAGTTTCCCCCCAATGCATGTGCATGCTTGCGTGTTTAAAGCTTACCGTTTACAAATTTTGGTGCATTTAATGTATTTTTTTTAAATGGTCTGGCTGATTTAATGTGTACCTCTTGGTGTTCTGTGCACTTAAAATGAGAGGGAAAAGGTTACTGTCCTGATGTTAGTTTCTAGTAGTAATGTAACCCTGTGAGTCAAGGAGAATTGCCTGTTAGTAATAAATGTGCAGGTATTCCATATACTGGTGACCAATGTAGCACAGTACTTAAAAGCTAAACTCTGGAACCTGGTTGCTGAGGTTAAATTCTGGTTCTGCAATTGTGAACTTTCTGCTCATTTTTATTTTTATTGTCACAAGTGCTTTATACATAGCACTTGTGACAATTCTGTTGTTATTCTTTCTGGTGATGGTAGTAGCATTCCAGGTTATAAAACTAGAACCTTTTGAACTGTCACTATTAAAATAATACCATATTGGTCAGACACTATTAAAAGTTTTAATGGTTTTCCTTCATTTTTTGACCTTTGTTTTTTTCGATGTTCACAAGTAAGACAATTACATCAGTAGGCGTTTACCAAACAGTACATATAAGCTCCTTTTTTTCCTGCTACCACCTCTAATTTCTGTCACTTTTCATTTGGCACTTTCAGAACATAGGCCATTATAGTGCAGTTTACAGTATTTTTGTTCTTCCTGAGTATAGCATTGACATTCAAATCTGTTTATCAACGTGATTACTAAAAACAATGCTAGTTTAAACATCTAGTTAGGAATTTACTTAACCTTTTCTTCCATCAACTCATTTTGTGAATTTTCTTATGATGATTGACATTTTGGAAAGTATGACTAAATAATTGATTACAACTTCACAATATAATAGTGGGAAGCAAAACACAAAATAAATGAACTGTTCATAAATTATACAGGTATGTTTATTAGCAAAAAAAGAAAAAAGGTTTGGTAGTAACTAGTTGTAATTTGTTCTTCAAAACCTGAAACTACTTTTTGGGATGAGAAATTAATGAGATTCTGTTTTACTATTAATAAAGAGATTGGTGGATTTTCTGGGTTTTTCCCCCTTTTCCACTACATAGGGAGAAGGCAGGAAGAGCGGACATCCTAGTACTTTAGTTAATTTATAATTTTGAAATAAGATGTATATTGTTTCCAAATCCAATTTAATCCACAATAAATATAAATACCTTCAATAAAATATTTTAAAATTTTAAAACTGTTTTTTTTTAACAGATTTCTATAATCCAGGAGCTTGTTACTAATTATGAAGCTTCTCTTAAAACGTGTGACTTTTTTAGTCCTTATGGTAAGTTTAAATTAGCTTCTCTTGGAGTGTAATTACTCATTTCAACCCATTTTTAATCACTTACACTAAAACTATCTTATGTTTTTTATGTACATGCTACATGATAAATATTTACTGAATAGTTTTTGAATTTGTGAATGAAATGAGAAGAGTGTACTTCAGTTTTATTTAATTTAAATTATCCATAATATTGTGAGATGGGAATTAACCCACTTCAAATAAACAGACTTGAGAGATTGGCAGCGTGCCGAAGATAATGCAGTTAGTTTATATTGAAATGTATTTTCGTGGAATCCCTACTTTTCTACCTTTTTTTTAAAAATTTTAAATCCTGTAAAATTTGTTTCTCTGTAGGGGCATATGTAAATCAAGGCAACTTTAGAAAATGCTCCAGATTGCTTCTTGTCATGCAGATGCTAACTTTGTTCTGTTTTCTTCATGTGTCTTTTACTTGTCATTACTCTTTTGTTTTTGTTGGTTTGAAACAAATTCCATATAAAAGAACAGACCGAGAAGTAAGTAGAACAGCGAACGCTGTGTCTCCATCACCCAGCCTCTGTTACCAACATTTTGCCAGTCTTTTTTGAAGTACCTTCTGTATACTTTTTCTGGAATATCTTTAAAGCAGATGTACTGTTTTACCTGTCAATACCTTAGTATGTATCTCTCTTTAAAACACTTAAACAGATGATGTAACCACAGTGCTATCTTATACAAAATTAATTCTCATAATTAATTACATAAATTAATACCCTAATATCTAACATCCAGTGTACATATAAATTTCTCTGATTATCTTAAAAAATTATGTTTGTATAATTTGTTTATGAGAGTCTGGATCCAACTAAAATCCACACTTGATTTGTATGTCCCTGATATTCTTTTAATCTTGAGTAGTGTCTTTCCCTCCCTTTTAAAAACATATTATTTGTTGAAGGGTTATTTGTCTTGTGGAATGTCTGGATTCCATATTCTGGATTCTATATCCTGGATTTGGCTGATTTGCTTTCTCATGGTATCATTTAATATATTTCTTCTAAACTTACAGTAATATTTACAGGCTTGATTAGGTTCAGGTTCCATGTGAATACTTTATATGTGATGCACTGTACTTTTGTGTTATTAAGCCTGGTCAGGGTTCAGACATTATCAGCCACCTGCCCATTAAAGGATTCCTCTTTGGCTTCTCACCTAATGATTTTAGCGGTCACTGAAAATCATTGTCCCAGTCCTTTATTTCATTCAAGTCGTCATTTCATCTGTATTTGTTAGTTAGAAATCTTCTTATAAAGAACTTGCCCTCATTAACTATTTGGTTCCCCTGAACTATAGTTTATGGAAAAGGAGCAAGATAAATACTGGACTTTGCCTTTATTTACTATTTGTGCTTTAATTTATACTAATTTGTTTGTCTGCGTGTTGTCATTTTATTTGGTCAGCTAGTCTAGGAGACCTATGTTGTTCTGATGTAGTGTGGGTAAATTCTCTTTTTCATTCTTTCTTCCTCATTTAGTGCCTGTATGTCTTCCCTTCTGAAATCTAATTTGAGAGCTTAGTATTTCTCTGCTCTCCTGTAGCTTGAGGATACAGGATGGGAAACAGCATAGAGCCCAGCTGATAGTAGGTGACATACACATAGGGTTACTTCTACCTTGTCAGGAATGTATCTCTGTCATATCCTTCAGCTACGGGTTCCCTGATTTAGTGTTGAGGCCAAGACATGCTAAGCCCTGGCAGTTCTTGCCTTTGTGGAAATCTTGTGCTGATAGTTAGGGACTTCTTTTCTCTAAGCTCTTTTCCTGGGTCTGCTGCCTAACGCCCCCAGCTGGAGAATTCATAGGTTGATTATCTGCTTTCCTCAGCAGTTTCTTTGGAGTGAGGTAGGAGTTAGAAGTCTTTGAAATTAGCATCTTCTTTCTCTGCTTGGCTGCCACTTTTTGAAATTGATGGCTTGAAGTCATACCTCTTTCTATTGAAATTGGTCATTTTTGCTGGGTGTTTACTGTTTATTATTGTAAAATTATTAATTTCATTATGCTTTGGGGGAAAGAGTATATGTGATATCCTTTACTTTGCTTTCTTCCCTATAATAATTTTGTATTTGTTCGATTGCAGAGAATGGGGAGAAGGAACCCCCAACAACACTGCTCTGGGTTCAGTATTTCCTGGCACAGCACTTTGATAAACTTGGACAATATTCTTTGGCTTTGGATTATATTAATGCTGCAATTGCTAGTACTCCAACTCTAATAGAATTATTCTATATGAAAGCAAAAATTTACAAGGTAAAATCCTAGACATGTTTTTCTGAATAATTGAAGAGTTTAGCTACTTAAGAACCCTCAGAGTTATTTCTGTGCAGAAATAACTTTTATGGTACCCTGATAATCTATTTCTAATACTCTAATAATCTTAAAGAATTTTAGGCTGTGTAGTTTTAAACTCAGTGTTAATCATTTGATTCAGCTTTTTGTAAGTGTGAATTTTAATTTAAAGGTTTCTAGATAAATTTTACAGAAATGGTACCAAATTTCTAACTTGTCTTCATAAACTGTTGCTAATTTGTATTGCTCCCACATTATCTTAATCATAAATTATAATTTCTTTAATACTTTCATCTCTTACAGCATACAGGTAATCTCAAAGAAGCTGCAAAGTGGATGGATGAAGCACAGTCTTTAGACACGGCTGATAGGTTCATCAATTCCAAATGTGCAAAATACATGCTTCGAGCAAATATGATAAAAGAAGCAGAGGAAATGTGCTCCAAGTTCACAAGGGTAGGAAATAGCATGTAATTGTCTGAGTTAATAAAATTAAACTTAAGTTCTGTGGTGATTTGTGAAGTTTGCCAATGAAGTTCTTAAGAATTCATTTTTATTATTCTTTAAAATCCCATTTAGCTCATATCCTAAGCCTAGGTTCTTAACTGAGGTTGAGTGTGTGTGTACATATGCTTCTGGAAGGGGGTGGTTAAGAAGCAACAGCAAGAGCTAAATACCTTTTACAAAAATAAGCAATATGCCATACTTCAGTGAATGTGGGTAATACTCAATAGACAACTCTTTTGTCTCGCTAGGAATTTGTGACTGCTGTTTAATTTCCCTTTCATAGTGTTCCTTTAGAGTTGCTCGTAAAATTCTTTCTATGTAAAACTAAGGGTTGTGGACTAATGGTCTCTGTGCCAGTTGAGAATTTAAGTTCACTGAAATGGTTGCACTAAATGTTGCTTCTTTCCTTTCTGTCCTTCATAATCCTTTTATATCCTTTCAACATAGACTTCTTGTTGTATTATGAAGATAATATTTTACATATTTATGCTTAAATATATAAGTAGACTAATGAAACAGAAAAGAAAGCTCAGAAACATACTCTCATATATATGGAAACTTGATATATAACCAGAGGTGCTTTAAAAACCAGAGGTGCTTTAAAAACCAGAGATGAAGAATATTGCTGGGACAATTAGTTATTTGTGTTGAAAAACATAAAATGACATGCTTATGCTGCACACAAATCAATTCCAAATGGATTAAAGGTCTAAGTATGGAAAGCATATTTTTCAGGCTTTTGGAAAAAATTGTAGAAGTTTATCTTTAGGGCTTGAGGTAGGAAACATTTCTTAAGACACTTAAAGCATAAAGTATAAGAGTAAATTGATACACTTGGCTGTATTAAAAATCAATATAAGGTATGACAGAATAACCATAAGTGAGGTGAGAAGATAAACCACAGAATTAATTGGAGAAGATATTTCTAACCCATATAATGAGAAAAGAATTTATAATGAACTCCAAAGAATTCACTGATAGGATTCTATAGCACATATTGTGTGTAACACTGAGGCATTACGAGGATACCATTGTTGCAAGTTTGATTTCCAAATTTTAATTAAGATTCTTTGAAATAAATATATGCCAACTGCACTTTACATACAGAGTGAAGGGCTTTAGTGCTGGTGTTTACAGGTAAGGTATTCAGGATGAACGTAAGTTACCACTGTGCTCTGATGCTAATAATGTATTGTTGCTACAGTGTACCACCTTCCTTAAATGTTAACTCGATTCTGGTTGTGTCTGATTGTTAATGGAAACCCCTTGTAATTTAGAAACTTGAACTTTTATTATGAAAATTTAACTACTTGTAAGAAGGATGTCATAGAAACATAAATACACACACAAAACTCAATAAAAATAAGACAAGTATGGGCAAAGGATAAGAATAATTCACAGCAATGGTAAATGGAATGGCCAAAACAGATGTCTTTATCAGTAATCAGGGAAATTATAAGATGTCAAATTTAAGAAGTTTAAGTCTGACATTACTAGGTATTGACAAAGAATATGTTTTACACATATACGATGCCATTTAATCTTAACAATCTTATATCATTACTCTTATATTACAGTTAAGAAAATGTTTAGAGAAGTCAAATACTGTGGCATCTAGAGATCACCCATTTAGTCATTTATTTGGAACCAGGATTCTAGATTAGGTGTTTCTGATTCTAAAACCTAGGTTTTAGGGTTGTGTTGTAGGAACAGAAACTGCAGTGACTAGTGTTTCTAAAACTCAGAAGCCATAGGATCAACAGCAGATGCAAAGTGGCAGTTGAAATATTAGAAGGAGGTATTAGCAAGAATGATGAGTATTAGGAGGAAAAAAATTAAGAAAGTAGTAATACAGATTATGTTCATGTAACATTTTTTTTATATGTTTGTCTGAAATTTTACAGCAATGATTGAGCCTCCAAAAAGGCTACTTGAATCATCTTTGGTCACATAGTGAATATTGGTGGGGCTCAAACTCTTCATTGTCCATCCCACTGAATCACAACTTTGAAGGTTAGAAGAAACTACATGTGTAGATATAGAAGCAGTGATGTTTGTAAAGAAAAGTGCCTACCATGTGGAAGGCCAAGGTAGAGATTTAGGAGTAAAGTACAATGAAAAATGAATACACAAAAATTTTAAAGTTGAGTCCTCTCTCTCCCTCTCTCTCTCATTCTCTCTCTCTCTCTCTCTCTCTTTCTCTCACACACACACACGCACACACATACACACACATGCACACACCCCCTCACCCAACCACAGACAACTGTCTGAAAAAGCACCGGGAAATGAGAAAGAAGTGAAAAGTTTGGCTGTTTGAGAGTAGTCACTAAAATCTAGTTTGCTCATCATAATTGCTTTCAGTCATCCACTCTTGACAAGTTGCCATGCTATATGGAGAGCTTGTTCAGTTTACCCATAGTGGTTCATTGGCCAGACATGTCTGTAATATGTCATAGATAACATAATGAGCCAGAGCAGGAAAACTGCTAATGGCCTTGAGTAATCAGCCTGTATCTATCTGCTTGTTCACTGAGTGAAGTGCTCATGTTTCCTTCTTGAAGATTTTTCACAATTTAAAATTTTGATATGGAGTTGTTGATGCAAATTGTATAGTTCTAGTTGGTAACATTTTTGAAATGAAATATAATACAGGTTTCTTATAAACCTAGGTAGTCATTAAAAACTGTAAGGTATATATAACCATAAAGAAGAATAAAATGCACTCCTACTTCACCTAACCAGTTTTTATACTTTTAATGAAAATTCTGAAAATTGAACTGGTAACACAAAATGAGTGTGACAGAGAGCTGAAGATTAAAATTACATATGTAAATGTACCATTGCCATCTTTTCTGGGGTCACATAAAATATACTTGAAATAACCTTCAAAAATGTGCGAACACTCCATTGCCCCTGCACTGAAACTAGGTGCTTTGCGACTTACATCATTCTCATTGTAATTCAGAATTCACATTGAGTCTGAATTAACAAATATTTTTAACAAATGCCAGTATTTGGTTTTTGTCAGCTCAAAGGAGAAGAATTGGCATAGAATAGGAAATTCTGTTAGAAGCAGACACATGGGCACAAAAAAGTCACAATTGATGTCCGAAGCCTCACATGCAGGGAGGGCACCTGGAAACTGAAGAGCAGGCTTGGACCCTAGTACTGACAGGTTTGACGATAATGGATGTACATAACCCTGTGTCAGCAAAAAAAAAAAAAAAAAAAAGGTTAGGTAGCTTTTACGTAATAGGCAGAAGATAGGCAGTAGTTCATAGGGCTGTGGTCTAAAATAGTTTAAATAAAAGCTTTGTTGCTTAAAAACTTAGCTTTAGTAATTTGGAATCTTTTATATAGAGTGTTGAATACCCCAGCAAAGCTGATTAAATAAGACATACAATTTTAAATCGATAGCAGCTTTTTAGTAGTATATTGATGTATTTGTTAATTGCTGTTGTAATATTTGTAGCTATAGTTGTAAAAGAGAAAATGATATTTTTAGGATCTCTTATTTTTTGCTTCTTACATTAATGAATGCTGCTATTTTAGGAAGGAACATCTGCCATGGAAAATCTAAACGAAATGCAGTGCATGTGGTTTCAGACAGAGTGCATTTCAGCCTATCAGCGTTTGGGGAGATACGGGGATGCCTTAAAAAAGTGCCATGAAGTAGAAAGGGTAAGTTGATAGAATTTTGACTTTATTTGTCTCTGGTAAGGAGATGAAAAAAAGCAGGTATTTTTCTACATGGTATCATCTACCTCTTTTATTTACTTTGGAAACTTCATTGTGAAAAAATTCTTTCAAACATCCAGAGGTTGTGAATAAAGGATTGCTTTTGTTTGATCCTCAAATGGTTGTGATTTCAACATGTCTCCATGTCTTTGTCTGAAGGAACAAGTAAGAGAGAAATTTTGTAAGCCATTATTGCTGTTAGTAACATATATTCAAAATTTCTGTTCCCTAATCGGGCCATTTGATTTTCATCACCAGCCTGGAAGGATACACAAGCTGATGGCCACCTCTTTCTCCTTGATGTCAGGATCTGCTCAGTAGTCAGCCTCTCTCCAGTTTGTCTTCCCAGGATATTTGTTCTCCCTTTCAGTACTTTGGACAGCAGTCTGTCACTGGTTTGCAGGCTTGTTTTATTACTTGGTTTTAGGATGATGTGTGTCATTTGCCTTAGTGAGGGGCCTTTTCTTTTCCTTTGTGTGAATTTTTGTTTTCCTGTTCTTTGTCATCTCTGAAGCACTCTCCTTCCAATGGACAACAGGAGGAAAAGAGCCACAAATGCACCCCTGAGGCAGTCCTCAGCAGCCGTCAGTTGGGGGCAATCGGCACCACTGTTCCCATCCTGACGCAGTATAAAACCACAGGCATCATAGTCAGGTGAGCCTGATGTCTGCTCTCTGGCAGTCACTTTGGCCTTTTTCCCATGTGAAACTTCTGAGATTACCCAAAAGAAAGGCTAAACCTTAGGGGGTGGCTTTTGATGGGAACTGGAACTAGGATTATATCTGAGCCCTTTTACAAATAACACAGTTTTTGCTTTGTTTTGTTTTTTTTCTTTTTAAGCCTGGGCTTGATGGCTATCTCTGGAAAAAATCCTCATCTTGAAAGTATGAAGCCCTTGGATGATAAGCGAACTCTTCAGGCATTGTAGTGTAAATCAGGCTCTTTTGTGATAAAACCATAGGTCACTGACTTGATGACTGTCATTTTAAAAACATTCTGTTTGTTATTAGGAAAGAAACATTTTTAGTAACCAGGACATTCTTGGTGACTACTTATGGATCAGTAATTCCAGCAGGACCATTACTGGAAATTTATTAGATTTTCCGTGTATCCTTAGGATCATTATATTTGTGAATTTCAATTCCAGCTCCAATTCCATTCCTCTTAACATTAACAACTATATTACTAATTTCTTTTTAATATTTTTTGATGATTCTTAGACTATGATGAAGAGCTATTCCATTACTAAGTTTTATTTAGATTATACTTTCCCTTAAATTTTAATAATTTTGGGTAACATGAAGTAAAATTCTGTAATGTTAGATAAAATACAGTTGACCCTTGAACAGCGAGGGGGTTGTGGCTGTAACCCCTGTGCAGTTGAAAATCCTTGTGTAACTACGGCCTGTCCTTTGAATATACGGATTTCCAACGAGGGATCAAAGAGAGAGAAATGGAGCAACCTTTAAACAACGTGGGTTTGAACTGCACAGGTCCACTTTTATATGCAAATTTGAAAAAGATTATAAAACTGCCCCGATCTGTACGGCTCAGTTGGGTGTTGTATCACAAAGAAAAAAGTCAGTGGTCCAGTTCTGGGTCCTGGCACATGACTGGGTTGCAGGTTCAGTCCCCAGTTGGGGCACGTGCAAGAGGCAACCAATGGATATTTCTCGCTCACATTGATGTTTCTCCCTCACATTGATGTTTCTCTCCCTTTTTTTCTCCCTCCCTTCTCCTCTCTAAAAATAAATAAAATGTTTTAAAAAATTATAAAAATCCATGTTCAAGAGTCAACTGTATTTCAAAAAACATGATTCAACTAGTACACATAATCCTTTGGTCATTTTACATAATTATTATTGTTAGACTCTTTACTGTTAGGGTTTACTGTTGGTGCTTGAGAATAGATAAACACTAGAAACAGATAAACAAGAGCCTATTCTAATGTTACTGGTGAATCAGTCTTTTTATAGTGAATTCATACCAAAAGTAAGACTTATCTAATGATTATATGTAGGTATGTGAATACTTAGTACAATTAGGATGATTAAATATTTTCTGACTGATTAATACTTCTAAAATTAATTTCCAATAAAACTAATATAACCTAAAAGAAAATTCTTAATATAATTGTAAGGATTTAGGAGTAATTACTGAATTGAAAGGTTTATTATAATAGGTATCTGCATGAGTTACTTTGTACCTAAGTTCAAAATACTTTAGTAAAGAAAAGAGCACTTTTCAAAAAACAACTTTCCAGTTTTCCTTATAAGTAGAAGATCAGTAAATAGAGAGATAAGTTCAAATAAAGGCTAAGTCTTCCACCTTCCAGAATTCTTTCATTGAAGGCAATTTCAACTAGGACCCATATTGCTGTGAGCTCTTAGTAATTAGATTTGAAATTCTAGAATGGCCTAGTGTAGTTCTTTCCTGTCATTGTCTTGGCCCCCCTTTATAGGATTACACCCCCGCTCCCCCGCCAATCTGATGTTTAGAAATTGAGTTTTATTCAAAGCAAAGCAAAACAACTGTCTTTAATATATTGGCTATAAACTTGTGTTCAGAATAAAATCTTAAAACTATTTTATCTTTCAAGAACTGAATTTTCTTTTCCCACTTTTCAGATGATTTATTTCTTATTATTTTAGTGTGCTCATTTGTATCTGAAGCAGAGCAACAATACATATTCCTAAAACTTTTTGATAAGATATAAGATTTCTGATAGTTCAATACCATAGAAAATTCATATCTTTTAGTGCATCTTAATTTTTATCAAACTGATACATGCTTTATAATGGCAGATTCTCTATAAAGGACACAGAGTTGTTTATTACCTTCTTTGGTCTAGTTACTGATTTTTTAATTTCAGAGGTTTTTGTCATATTTCTTACTAGCCTACTCCAGGAACTCTGAGAAGGACTGGGTAGGTGAATCTGGGTGAGAAGAGAGGGCCTAATAAGGAATTCCTAAAGAAAAGCACAGTTGTTTTTTTTTAATCCTCACTGTAGGGCATTTTTTCATTGCATTAGACAGAGAGAGGAAGGGAGAGGGAAAAACATTGATGTGAGAGAACCATCAATTGGTTGCCTCTTGTAAATGCCTGGACTGTGGGTTGTACACACCCAGACTCTGTGGACTGGGGATTGAACCTGCAACCTAGGTATGTGCTCTGACTTGGAATCAAACCCACAACCCTTGAGTTACGGGATGATGCTCCAGCCAACTAAGCCACACTAGCCAGGGCAAAAACTGCACTCTAAGCTGTGAATAGCATTTTTTAATTCTTTGCTGACTTGTCTTACTTTGATTGAAGCCTAATTTTGACAATTTAAGCAATTCCTGTATTACTACTCTCCTTCCCCCAAGAAAAAGAGAGAGAACTAGTGTTTATGATGAGGGAAACACTGAATTAGGGGCTTGAGCAGTATGTTAAAATTTGAGTACCTAGAGTCTGCAGTGAGCTGTGTGATTTCACCGTGTTCATGTTTGGCCCAAGTGCAGGGAAACTAACTTTACCTGTTGGTATTATCTAATATATTTTTATGTTTTACAAATTCAGAGACCTAAACATCACCCCAAGGTGGTACAAAGGAGGTATTTGTGGTAATGAGACAGGTCTATACCTTGATTTTGCTATTAGATACTCAAACCTAACATGATAAAATCACATAGAACTGTACACGCAAGTTATACCAGTGTCAGTCTTTTGGTTTTGGTATTTTATTATAGTTATGCAGGCTATAGCATTTTGGGGGAAGCTGACAGGAAAGTGTACAGAATATCTTTATACTACCTTTCAGCTTTCTCTGTATTTATAATTATTCCAAATAAAAAGTTAAAAAAATCAACCTAAGATTAGTTGTTTTAAAGTAGGAGTCTTCAAACCTCATTTCTTCCAAAAGCAAAATTATTTTGTAGTACCTTACATTTTCTCATATAATCTAGTCAGTATCTGGTCCACCACCATTAACTTATTGTAGAGTGATCAACATCCAGGGTTATAGGGCTCAGCAAGTTCCTAAGACACAAGGCTTTCAATGAAAAACTGAAAGCCTCAGGCAAAGTGGGGTAAGATGGTTACCCTATTTCTGGAAGACAATTACTGGAGAGAGGCAGCCTGCGGGCTATCACTGATAAAGAGGAGGCCTCAGTGTTTGTGGTTCTGAAGGCTCCCTCTGAGATTTGACTTAAAATCTATGTTTACTAATGCTGCTAGGAATATTTCTTGAATTCTATGTCTGTGTTTTTACACATAAATGTTTCTCAATCTCAAAAAGGTCCTATAATCTGAAAGTTTTCATCTCTGTGATTTTTGTCACTGTCATATTTCTTAGTCAGTTGTATTGAATTTTAATATATTCTTATGGTGCTAGATATAACTTGATATAAGGAGGACCATGAACAGCTTTATGAAATATGTAATCCTTTTTTAAAAAATAGGCTTGTTATTATTTATTGATTTATCTTACTAATGGGAGGAATGCAATGTTCAAGTATAATCATTAAAGCATGATTCTTGAGGTAGTAAATACAAACTAATGTGTTCATTTTTTTTTCTATTTCTTTCCCTCCACACTATACTTTTAATCTTACCTTAAAATTCTGTTTTTTAAAGTCCCAGGTGCTTAATGTAATTCTATGTATGGTGTGTTTCTAATTACCAAGACAACTATAATTATCAATAATATGGACACTTAATAATGTGACCTCTGCTTAGTGAGTTACTAGACCCCAGGACAGAGGGAAAACGAAGTGGTAGAAGAACTTGTTCTATATCGGTATATTGAATTCATTTTTCTAAATATATATTTTTGGAGAAGCTAAAGTGAGGGAAAATAAAGAACTGGTTAGATGCATGTAGGTAAGAAAATAAAAGTATAAATTGTTTTGTAGGGAGCTAATCTTCACCTTTCTGTATAAGAGATTACTTCTTAAACTTTTGGGGGAGCCATGGACCCTTTGAGAACTGGATGAAAGCCTCAAAAAGTGTTATGTTTATACATAGCCTCCAGACTAAGGACCTTTGCTAAAATGGAATGTAGGTAGATTAATGGTAGCTTATTGAGTGAGAGAAAACGTAATGCTCTGTGTTTATAAAGCAGTTTACAGTTTAGAATGAACTTTAGAATATGTCCTTATATGATCTTTAACAATCTTATGAAATTGTATAGATTTCTTTATTCCTAACTTAAGTAATGGAGGCTCTAGATAATTGAGGTCATGTGTCTGATTAGTAACTGATCTCTTAAATTGGAAAATATTGTGCTTAACGAATGCCTGCTATATTAGGCTCTCTGCCAGGCAGTGAGGATAGACATAATAAGGCTTGCCCTTGAAGAGCTCATAGCTGAGCAGAGCAGTCTGATTTGTAAACATTTTGTGTGAACCTGTAGTATATATATTTTAGTTTTCAGGCAGGACTCTGTTTAACTCTGCCATGTTCATTTTGGGGGAATATTGAGGAGAAATGTTTAATTAAAACTAAGATATCAATATGTACTAATTTCCAGGCTTAAAAATCTGACTTCTTACATAGAAATTGAGTATCAACCCAAAACATGATTTATAGTGAATGATCATCAATTGTAGAAAGAGAAACTTGTTATATACAAAGGAGAACTTGATGTCCTTCAGTGTTAAACACTGGAGAGGGTGGCAACTAAGTGAAATTGGGACTGTTAAAAATGTTGTTGGGGGATTTTTATGGTATTCTTTCCAAAAATAGATATTATTGACAAAATGTAAGAGATAATTTTGTGGTTTTGTTTTTCAAGCATTTTTTGGAGATAACCGATGATCAATTTGACTTCCATACGTACTGCATGAGAAAGATGACCCTTCGTGCCTATGTTGACCTTCTGAGATTAGAAGATACACTGAGAAGACATGCCTTCTATTTCAAGGCTGCTAGATCAGCGATTGAAATATACTTGAAATTGTACGATAATCCCTTAACCAGTGAAAGCAAGCAACAAGAAATAAATTCAGGTACCGGACAAGGAACTATTTTTAAAAATTTGAAAGGAATACTAAATTTCAGAATGTCATTAATATAAACAATACATAGAAAAGTATGTTGTCAAATGGATATGAAGACAATATACCTTTATTTGTATGAAAAAAATGCAGGGGAAGACTTAGAAAAAACTGGCAAGATGATGTTCTGTAGCTGATGATTCTAAATCGTCCTAATGGAATCCTAATGGAATGACTTTGCAATCTTTTTTATTTTTATCTTCAGTAAGATCAATTCAGGAAAAATACTAATGTCTATGGACTGGGTTCCTTTTCTTTTTTGAAATTGTAACTGAAAAAGAGTATTGAGCCCTGTAGGGAACAGTAATTTTTCTTACAACTTCTAGTACCTACTTTATTGAAAATAATGCTAATATCTAAGAAATTTGAGAAATAGCATAGAGAAAAATTTCTTATCTTTCATTTGTAATATTTAGGCAGTGTTTAGAGAGTATAAGTGTGTTTATATCATTAATATACTCTTAAGAGAGTAATTGATATTATCAGCACCACTTTACATTTTGAAATTTGATACTGAGAGATGATTTGCCAAAATCATGTATTGTATAGGAAGCAGAACTGGGCTAGAATTTGTTAATTTTAGTCAGCGCCGCATTTGCTTGTTGTCTTTTGTGTGCCATGTTTAATGCTAGTCATTAGGAATGCACTTTCTAAAACTTTTTAAATAGTTTCCTTTTCCCCCTTTCCCCCAAAGAGCTATACTAATCGTATATATTGCACAAGAATATGAGGAAGAATGGAAACATTTACTCAGAATGCTTATGCATTTGGATATTTGTAGAAAACCTGTCAGCCAAAGAATTGAAGAAAATACTTAGCAAGCAGAGAAGAGCTCAGAAAAAGGCTAAAATAGAGGAAGAGAGAAAGCATACGGAAAGGGAACGTCAACAAAAGAATCAAAAGAAAAAAAGAGATGATGATGAAGAAGAAACCTGTGGTCTCAAAGAAGAACTTATACCTGAAAAATTAGAAAGGGTGAGATAAATTTATCATGTTAATTTGGTAAAATTTAAGTTAATTAGTTCTGTGCTGGCCATAAATATGTTTTATTTAAATTTATAAATCATAAGCCATTTATAATTCTTCAAGGTTATTATGATAGTCATCAATTATTTTTGTGTTATAGCATGCAGATTTTGCTAATGCATATTATACATAGAATTGTGGTTGTGATAGGCAGAAACATGACCCTCCAAAGGTATCCATGTCCTAAACCATGGAACCAGTAAATATGTTACATTACATGGTAAAGGGTAATGAAAGTGGCAGATGGAATTCAAGGTGGTATTGGGTTGGCTAAAAAGTTTGTTTAGTTTTTTTCTGCACGATGGCTCTAGTAGTGCTAAGTTGTCTTTAACTTCATTTTGAAACAATTTTGTTAGATTGTATTGTGACAGCTGTAATATCAGCGTGCATTTTTAAAAAACTGGTGAATTTTTGTGCAGCCATTTTAATATTGAAGTGGAAGAATATATACAACATTTTTGGCATATTATGCTTTATTATGTCAAGAAAGGTAAATGCAATGGAAACACATGCACACACAAAAGATTTGTGCAGTGTATGGAGAAGGTGCTGTGACTGACCGAATATGTCAAGAGTGGTTTGTGAAGTTTCTTGGTACTATTGATGTTTTGGCCAAATAATTCCTTGCTGTGGGGCTCTCTTATGCAGTGCATTGGAAGATGTTTAGCAGCACCCCTGGCACCCACTAGAAGCCAAAAGCGGGAGATAGCCAACATACTCAAAATATCCAAATCAATAAAGTTATTGGTGAAAATGAAAAATGTGTCTTTTATTTTACACAAGAATCTAAACGGACTCTTTGGCCAACCCAATAGCTTGCCTTAAGATAGGGCAATAAAGCTGATTGTTCAGGTGGGCCTAGTGTAATCACAAGAGGCCTTAAAAGTAGAAGAGGAAAGGAGGTAAGGGCTGAGGATTCCATCCCTGGTTGATGGCCTCTGAAGGTGGAGGGAGGGAAAGGGAGGAGGCAGCTATAAGCCAAAGAAGGTAGGCAGCCTTGGGAAGCTGAAAAAGACAATGGAACATAGTCTTCCTTAACATCCTTCAGAAGGGAATGCAGTCTGGCTGACACTTGATGATTTTATGTCCAGTGAGGCCCATGTTGAACTTTTAACCTTCAGAGCTTCAAGATAATAAATTTGTGTTGTCTTAATGTTACAGAACCCCATCTATGCTGTTCTGGAACAGCTGGGGGATTTGCTCTCAGCCAAGAAGCGTGACTCCCAATGCAAGAGTTTGGTGAAAGAGGGAAGGGATTGTTAATTTACAGGTTATACAGATTTAGAACTAAGGTGGATTTCTGCTATTAAGTCCCACTCCCTTTAAAACACCCCAGAACACACAGTCCTGCCTCCCTTTACCAAACCAGGCCAGTTTCAGGATATGCCAGTCATAGGTACCATCTTTCAGAAAAGCAGAAATCTGTAACTCAGGACTCTGGGTCACAGTTCAGCATTCAGACATCTCCCACTAATCCGTGCTTGGTTAGACAGGTTCCCACACAGGTCCGTTTGCTCTGCGGCTGTGTTCTTCAGGCAGGTTTTCCAGCGGGTCTTCTCATTTTTACTCCCGCTCTTAATCCAAAACTCTGTGGCATCCCCTTACTCCAGACCACGTGGCACCTGCTTACACACCCGACCTCATTGTCAAACCCCCCTACTTCATGGCTCCTTCCTCGTGGTTGCCTCCTCTCTCAGCCTGCATGGCTGCTACTCACTACTGACTGCATGGCCGACCAGGCAGCCCTTCTACACCCTTTCAAACTGCTTTGCTGCTCCCTTCCTCTCTCTCTGCCTTTATTTTTAAATGTTGACCCAAAGCTTCCTCCTGACTTTATATCCAGCCCCTGCTACAATGTGCTACTTTCACCAGTTCCCCCATATCTTTCACCTTCTTTTGGCTGCTGTCTTTAGTCAGGGCAAGAGTGCCCCGTGACACAGGAGCCTCTGGCCCCGGCCTGTTCCACAGGCACTGCATAAGGCCCCCCTGCCTATGTCAGGAGTCACTATCCTGTCTGAAAGTCATGTAGACCTTATACCTGGGGCCAGAGCACAGCTATCCGCTAGCTCTCAATTTGCCATTGTTATGAAAAGTATCTTAACTGCCATATCATCCCCTTCCCCATCGCCCAACCGTGGGCTGTGGGGAATATTTTCGGGGATCCCTGCTTTGCACCCCGTTTCATTAAGACATTAAATTTTTGGTTATTTGTACAGCAGCAATACAATTGCCTGTTAAATATGGAATCATTTTATGTATCTTACTAGGTATGTTTTAGCTTAAAAGAATTAGCACCTCAACTCCAGGATTTAGTTATTTAGGGACCAGATTTAGGAAAATATTTTTTTCTCTTTTATTCACTATGAATCTAGTATAAATATTTTAAATGTCATTTTTTCAGTTACTTGATAAAATTGTATTTGTCTCCGCACTTCAGATATTGTAGTATAAAGGGCTGTCAGTGCTTTGTGTGCTGTCTCCTTTGGTTGGTTACCTAAAAAGTGTTGTAGGGGTTCGGAACAAGTCACTCAAAGATGTGCCTAGATGCAACGTGGACCTTGTGGGCTTAAGAGAAACTCTGCCTTCCTTAACTACCTAAAAGAATTTGAATTAGGGGCCTTTCCCACAGTAAGACATTACCAGAAATAACTTTCTGACCTATCAGTAGAGCAGGACAAACTACTAATTCTTGAACATCTAGTCTTCTTACCTTCCTCCTTTCTCCAAGGTGATCCCTAACTCGGAATGTCATAGTACATATGTACCTCATTTGCCCTTTCTCTCTAAACCTCTTACGTATGTGGGATCTCTAACTATCTTATGTATGTGGGGTTCCTTCCCATATGTATGTATGTATGTATGTATGTATGTATGTGTGTGTGTGTAATTAAATGTGGTCATTTTCTCATTAATCTCCTTCATGTTTACTTAACTGTTAGACCAACTGAAATACCTTGAGGGTAGAAGAAAGTTTTTTATTTCCCCACACTGTCAAAATTATTTTAGATATGTATTAGTATAAAATTAGGGGAGAAATTTGACTTGTGTGGCTGTTTTTTAAATGTAATAATTTTCCTTTCTGTTTCAAAACAGGTAGACAATCCCCTGGAAGAAGCTATCAAGTTCCTTATACCTCTTAAGAACCTTGTTGCTGATAACATTGACACACATCTATTAGCATTTGAAATATATTTTAGAAAAGGTAATGATTTGAATTCAGTTTTTAATTCTTAATTATTTTGGTGACCATATTCATTATAATCTTGTTAGTTAGACCTATTTTTGTTTAGTGTTCCACTTCAATATTCCACAAAAGCCCTTAGTTCTTTTTTTCTTTTGCTACACAAAACTGTGCTGGATAATAAGTTCAGAATATCATGATCAAATCCATTTTAAGAATAGTTTGAATGATGATACAAATTGTTTACCTGAAGCAGGCCTTCACGACTGTTGAAGCTTTTCTTAAGAAAATAAAAGTTGCGTTTGATAACCAAAATTATTTTTGAATGTTTTTATGAATGTTTTAAGAAAGGTAACATTCTGTTACTAGATTTTAAGTGAGGCTAAAATACAGTGAATAAAATATCATTCATAAATATTGATCCTGTTTTATTTTTGTCTTACGCAGGAAAGTTTCTGTTAATGCTACAATCTGTCAAACGAGCTTTTGCCATCAATAGTAATAACCCATGGTTACATGAATGTTTAATTAAATTTTCTAAATCCGGTACGTACAAATAGGTTAGTATTTATGTAAAAGCAAATGTGACAATTTAGCTGTTTTCCATTAAGCTGCACATTAAAAGAGATTTGCAAAATGTAAAGCAAAAAACATTTTATATATAGTATTTAAATGAAGATATGTTTATAAATTAAAGATGCTAGCAAAGATATGCTAGAAAGTTGTGCATTTTTAAGTTAGAATGTATTTATATTACAAAGGAGGGATAATTTTTTACTATCTAAGATATATCAAACTTAAATGTATTTCAACTGATTTTGTTTCAAAAGACAGACCTAAATTTTAAAAAATTCCAAATATTTTGTTTTTACAGTGTCCAATCATAGTAATCTTCCAGACATTGTGAGCAAAGTTCTTTCTCAAGAAATGCAGAAAATATTTTTGAATAAGGATTTGGAAAGTTTTAATGAGGATTTTCTCAAACATAATGCTACCTCTCTTCAGCATCTACTTTCAGGTTGGTATTTATTTAGCTCCCAGGGTTAAAATGTTTATGAAAAAAAGTTAGATTGTGATTTTTTTTAAAAAGTTTGGAAAGATGTTAAACTTCACTAATTATCAGAGAAGAATAAATAAACACAATACTATTTTTGATCCTTCAAATTAGGAAAGGTTTTGTTTGTTTGTTTAAAAGAGATTAAAGTTTAGTCCAGTTGTGGTTAACAAGCAGGCTTGTATTTAGCTGCTGCAGTGCAAATTGGCCTGGCCATTTAAGAAAGCAATTTGTTATTCTTATCAAGAGGTTCACAATACCTGTGTCTTTTGCTGTAGTTATACTTTTGTGAGTAAGTTTGAAGAATTACTCCAAAGCAAAAATAGAATTTAATTGCAAAGGTGTTAACTGAAATGCGTGTAAGTATGGGGAAAAGAATGGAAACAAATCTAATGTATGTCCAATAATAGGGAAAAGTAGTAGGTTTGCAGGATGAAATACCAGGTAATCATATAAAGTGATGTTTATTTCATCTTTTTGTTTATCTTTTTTAATGATGTTTATTTCAAAGAGGGTAAATACTTTTCAATAATTCAAAGCAGAATTAACATAAAAAGTAATCTCAACTATGTAAAAATATACATGGGATAAAGACCAAAAAGACATGTGTACCAAAGCTCGAATGGTTGCCTTTGGGTGTCGTGGTTATGAGTGACTTACTTTTTTCTTGAATTTTTATTACTTGATATATTTTGTGTATTGAGAATTTATTTATATTCTGCTTTGTCACAGGAAGGAATTTAGGCAGTTTATACAAATTTATAAAGTGACAATATGATGCTCTGGCTGGGTTGAGCATCGCCTAGCAAACTGAAATGTTGCTGGTTCTATTCCTGGTCAGGGCCCATGCCTGGGTTGCAGGCTGGGCCCCAAATAGGGGCATGCGGGAGGCAGCCAATTGATGTTTCTCTCGCATCAGTGTTTCTCTCCCTCTGTTTCTCGCTCCCTTCCCCTCAATCTAAAAATAAATAAATAAAATCTTTTTAAAAATGACAAGCTGGCATAAATGTAAATTGAACAAAAGATTATGGAAGGGAATTGGGGACATAATGAAGTATATAATTAACTGCCCCTACTTTAAGACATATACTGTATTTGAATACTTAAGCTTGTTTGTTGTAAAGGAAAACATTTTGGTTTGATGTCTATGGGAAAGAGTTAATTCATATGAAAAATTACACTTCTTGGTGGTAAGGAGAGGTACGAATTTCTCTTCAAGAACACAATAATGGAGGAAAACATTTCTTTATTATAATAATGGGAAATGCCTTTTTAAACATATGAAATTCTAAAGAAAAGATAATTTTTTGCCACATAAAAATACAAACACCATAAAGTCAAATGACTAATTGGAAAAAAATACAGATATGTAACTGATAAAAAGCTAAAAAAAAATGGAGTCTTATAAATGAACAATTAATATAAATTAATAAACAAAATCCCAATAGTAAAATGAGCAAAGAATACGGACCCTATAATTTCTTGGAGAAATATAAACAGTTTTATTTTTTTAAAGCTTTAAGAATTATTTTCTTTAGCGCTAGCTGGTGTGGCTCAGTGGATTGAGTGCTGGCCTGCGAACCAAAGGGTCGCCAGTTTGATTCCCCATGTAGGGCATATGCCTGGGTTGCAGGCCAGGTCCCCATTTAAGGGCACACGAGAGGCAACCACACATTGATGTTTCTTTCCCTCTCTTTCTTCCTCCATTCCCCTCTCTAAAAATACATAAAATCTTTTTTTTAAAGAATAATTTTCTTTGTAAATATGCAAACATTTTCCTTTTGTCCCTCTACCACATGGATAATAATTTGTTTCTTAAATGTTTTATTTTAGGGTATCATTTTTAAAAAGTGATTGATGCCACAAAGTGGCCCGTGTTTACATTTTGAGTTACATCACGTCCTGTAGGGAGGGGGAGTATTAAATCTGGTCTCCTGGTAAATGTTTAACAACCATCTCTTTGTAAGAGAAAAAGCCTGGTTTGTAATGTTTTGACAGAATACAAATACTTCCATTGTGGCCCCAAGCTATCTATGGGATGTCACTGAAGGGGAAGTGGGAAGAGATGCCACAGTTGCCTTCTGAGAGCAGGTGGGAGCCAACTCCAGCCTACCACTGATTAAATACTTGAAACCATATTTTAAGTCACTGATCAATGTAAGTGAGATCAAATGTTAGCCATAGGAGTTCACTCATTTTGAAATGTTATGCTATTTCAGGTGCTAAAATGATGTATTTTCTGGACAAGTCAAGGCAAGAGAAAGCAATTGCCATTGCCACTAGACTGGATGAAACTATAAAAGATAAAAATGTAAAGGTAAGAATTTTCACAGACTGATTTCTCCAAACATATGGATATTGAATGATTTAACAAAACATGTGTTTATAGCATAATTCTTGAGTGGACCTTTTGAAATAGTTAGGCCTTGATTTGAATCTCAGTTCTATCAATTATGAGCCATGTCACTTTAGACAAGTTACGTTACCCATGTCTCTTAGCGTCCTTGTCATGGAGTTGGGAGTTGATATAAGGGTTATCCAAAGTAATAAACTGAAGTGATAACTACATGCCTGGCACATGTAAACATAATACATGAGAGATAGTTTATTAATAAAGGACACTTTTATTTTAGTGATCACAGTTTCAGGGATTCACTTTTTCAGGTATTAGAATTTTACTACTTTTTTAAGGCTTTGCAGAATTGATTTTTAAAATGTCCCTTTTTTGAGGTGATTACTTACTATAGGTAGGAAGAAGTTACTTTGGATACGGCTTGTTGGCCTTCTCTTGATTAGTTAACAGATTGCATCTTGATTAAAATGATTATTAACCAAACAAAAAAAATTGTTTTGTTTCTTTTTGTTTCGATAGACTTTAATAAAGGTTTCTGAGGCACTGCTTGATGGCAGCTTTGGGAGCTGTAATTCCCAGTATGAAGAATACAGGACGGCCTGTCACAACCTGCTTCCTTTCACGTGTGCTTTCCTGCCTGCTGTGAATGAAGTCAGTAGTCTTAGTGTGGCCTTAAACAATGCAGCTAACTATGATGTCTTGGCCAATGAAATTTGAAATCCCGTAGAAAATTGGCTTCTATAGATTCAGAGCTGACTTCAGATCATGGTTCCTTCTCCAGAATGTATATAGATATGAAATGAAATAATTGGATAGAGTTTTTCAATGGAATACTCTGTAAGCGTATTTTATTCTTTGTCTGACTCTGCCAGTATGTATAAACATCTGTTATAATTACCTGTTTATACATGTACAGTTTTCTTAAAATTTAGAATTATCAGCATTGTGATGGGTGCTGTCACTTCTATATCATAAATATGACAATTTCTTATTTTGGTAAGCTCTATACAGACTTTGGGTTCTTTTTTTAAATTCTGGTTTTAGAATCTATGTTTTGATCCCTTATCGGTTTGTTTTATTATTGTTTGTTTACTTCTTTTAATTAAAGCACATCAGTTTTAAAGTGTTAAATGTATGTAAAAAATAATATGGAACTCCTTTTGGCAGATACCAAGGTTTATTTTTAAATGTACTTTAGTTTGCCTTTTTTTGGTCTACCTTAATTTTTTCTTGATTTATAGTATTTTTAATATCCATGAAAATGATAATTTCTGTTGATTTTAGAGTGTAGGGATTGCTTTGCCTTGTAATCACTGAAATTCACTGGTAAATTTGTTTTTTATCTTAGATTAGTCTTAAAGACCCATAGGCAAAAATTACACTTTCTTGGCCAGTTGCTTTGCGTGTGAATAAAGAGTTTATGTCTGAGTGGTATCAGCGTCAAGGGAGCATAACTGGGCTGAATACAAATTATAATGAAGCATTCTTATTCTTACAGTCATGCATTGACTATCAAATATGTTTTTATATTAGCAGAATGGGAATTTAAACTCTTAATAGTTTAATTATTAAAACGTAGTATTGTCAGGCAATTTTTTTGTGGGAGGATAGTGTTTTCTATCTTGTATAGAAAATAGTAATGGCATCATTTGATATGTTTCTTTCAGAACTGTATAAATATGTCTGTAATATTAATACTTCCCTTTAAGGCAAATATAAATTCAAAAAGGGAGATTTTATTTAGAAAAACAGTTCTAATTGAAATGATTTTCTTTTACTCTAAGCTATTTTAGATTCATAATTGTTGAGGAAATCACTCACTGTAAAATAATGTCAACCTATAATGCTGTAATAAATTATTTTGTACACAGTTGCTTATTTGTGTTTGTGTTATTGCTTCACACTGTTAAAATATTTTTGCAAAATGTTTTTTCTTTGAGGGAGTAAAAACTTTTAATCATCTTATTTCTTACCAGTTTATTTAAAAAATCACCTACCAGTATATTCTGGTGCTGCAGCAGCTTGTTTTCCTTTTAGTGTCTTAATTTAGAAGTAGGTAATCTTTGTCACTAAATACAAAATTTGTCATGTTCCTTTCAGGAAGATGCCATTTGTCTAAAAGATGGCAGTTCATAATTAATGTGAAAATTGTGCTTTCAGCTGTAGTCTGTTTTTTTTCCAATTTTTTTTTTCCCTCAAAACAAAGCCAATTTTTTTATTGTATTTTTTTTCTATTACCATTTGTCCCCCATATTCTCCCTTCTCTCCCCCTCCGCAGTCCCCACACTGTTTTCCATACCCATGAGTCCTTTACCTTCTTGTTCAATCCTCCTACCCTTGTATTCCCGGCCACCCGCTACCGCCGGAGCTGTCAGCCTGCTCTCTGTGGGTCTATCTCTGTGTTGCTTATTAGTTCTGTTTGTTTATCAGATTCCACGTATGAGTGAAATCATACGATATTTGTCTCTCTCTGGCTTTTTTCATTTAGCATAATATTCTCCAGGTCCATCCATGATGTTGCAAAAGGTACAATTTTCTTCTTTTTTACAGCTGAGTGGAATGCCATTGTATAAGCATCCCATCGTTGTTTTATCCACTCATATATGAGAAAGGGGAACACTTCTGCACTCTGGGTGGGAATGCAGATTGGTGCAGCCACTGGGAAAATCAGCCATTTGTGGGAATTTATCCTAAGAAACCCAAAACACTAATTTGAAAGAACATAAGCACCCCTATGTTCATTGCAGCATTATTTACAATTGCCAGGATATGGAATCAGCTGTAGTCTTTTAAAAAGTATTACACTGGGATCATTTCTGAGAGATAGGCTGATACAGTTGAGATGTGAGAAGTCTGGTTCAAGGTAGGAAGACAGCAGGACAGTTGGTGACACGGATTAGTGAAATCCTGTAGCGTATCAGTCAGTGTACAAAGGTATTTATTCTCCTTCCTACTTCTAGTATAAACCTGGGATATGGTCAGGGATATTTTTTAGATAAGGAAGGAAGGTTGTATCATGTCCCTTTACCCGCTACCTCCACCCTATCCCCAGCCTTGGCAGAGGCCCTTGTAGTTTTGTAAAGGTAAAGAATAAACAAGCCAAAAAGGGATACATCTTAAAACCAAGTACTTAAAAAGAACAGAGACAGAATCATGGATATGGAGAGCATTATGATGGTTGCCAGATGGCAGGGAGGTTTGGGGGAATGGGTGAAGTGGTGAGGGGAATAAGTACAAATATGTAGTTAGAGAATAGCCATGAAAATGAAAAGTACAATACAGGAAAGGGAGTGGCCAGTGAACTTACAAGCATGACCCATGGACATGAACAATGGTGTGGGGATTGCCTGAAGGAGTGGTGGGTGCTGGGTGGAGGGGGGCAAAGGGGGTAAAAATAGGGACAACTGTAATAGCATAATCAATAAAATACTTTTTTTTAAGAACCAAGTACTTAAAAAAGTCACTTGTCTCAAGAGCAAAAAGTCCCTTGTCCTGCCAAGTTTATCAGAACAGATAGGAAAAAAACCACCAAGATTCAAGGCATAGTATAATTTAAGAATTTGGCTTCAGGTTTTTGTGATTTTTCTTGAGTAATGAATTTAATGGGCAAAGCCTGCAGACCAGGAAACCATGATTCATTCTGTATTCACTGAGCCCTATTTTGTTTCATACTGTTCAAGGTATGATGTATACAGAAGTGAATAAAACTAAGACCTTATTCTCATGGAGTTTATATTCTAGTGGGGAGAGAGAAATATATAATATCACAGGTGTTAATTACTGTTTAGAAAACTCAAGCACAGTTTGAATATAGAGAGTAGTGTTGGTTATAATGAAATTTAAAAATTTCAAAGAATAAGAATAGTCTAAAAGTTTGCGGGGGAAAAAGATTTTTCCTCAAAGGAGTGAATTAGATTGACATCGGATTTCTCAAAACCATTACTGGATATAAATATCAAAGAAAAAAGGTTGAAATTTTTAGCCAAATTAACATTAATTAGAATGTGACAACATTTAAAAATATTTTTAAGTTTTCAAATCTCAGAAGATTTACCTTACAAAGGTCCTCAAGAAAATACTTCAGATATTTACCTGGCAGGGGAGATTCCATGATCCCAAAGGTGGTTTTCTCAGGGCGAGGCTTATGCATGGTACTGTGGATATGCCGACCCCTGCGATTTCCCCAAATGTGGGGAACTTGAATGCTTAATTGGTGGTAGTGGGGGGCTGTGTTCTCACCCTCCCCTATTAAGAAAAAAAATACTTGGTGACAGCAATTTTTGACCTTTCTCATCTCATGACACAGATAAACATTACTAAATTTCTGCAGCCCACCAAAAAATATATTTTTTGCCAATCTGACAAAAAAAAAATAGGTATAACTTTAAAAATTAAATTTATTGGGGTGACTGGTTAATAGGGCCATAGAGGTTTGAAGTGTACATTTCTGTGATACATGGTCTATATGTTACATTGTGTGCCCACCACCCAAAATCAAATCATCTTTTGTCACCTTATATTTGGCCCCCTTTACCCTTTACTATCCCCCCAACCCATTTCCTCTGGTAACCACCATACTGTTTTCTGTGCCCATGAGTTTTCGGTTTTATATCCCACGTATGAGTAAAATCATATGGTTCATAGCTTTTTCCGACTGGCTTAGCATAATATTCTCTTTCTTTTTTAATCCTTGCCTGAGGATAATACATTCATTCATTTTAGGGAGAGAGAGAGAGGAAGGGGGTGGAGAGAGAGACATTGATGTGCTAGGGAAATCAATCAGTTGCCTTCTGTACATGCCCATATCAGGAACTGAACTTGCAACCTAGGCAAATGCGCTGACTGGGAATTGAACTTGCGGTCTTTCTGTGCATGGGAAGATGCTCTATCTGATGGCCACACCAGCCAGGGAAGCATAATATTATCAAGGTCCATCCAAGTTGTTGCAAACAGCAGTATTTCATTGTTTCTTATGGCTGAGTAGTATTCCATAGTATATATGTACCATATCTTTATCCAATTTCAATCGAAGGACACTTTGGTTGTCTCCATATCTTGGCCACTGTGAATAATGCTGCAGTGAACATAGGGGTGCATAAATCTGCAAATAAATGTTTTTGAGTTTTTCTGGTATATACCCAGAGGAAGGATTGCTGGGTCATATAACATCTCTTTTTTTTGGATTTTTAAGGAACCACCATACTGTTTTTCATAGTGGTTGAACCAGTTTACATTCTCACTAGCAGTGAATGAGGGTTCCTTTTTCTCCACAACTTTTCCAACTTTTGTTATTACCTATCTTGTTGATAATAGTCATTTTAACAGGTGTGAGATGGCATCTTATACTTTTGATTTGCATTTCCCTATTAGCTAGTGAAGTTGAACATCTTTTTGTACACCTGTTAGTCATTTGTCCTCTTTGGAGAGGTGTCTGTTCAGGTCCTCTGCCCATTTTTAATTGGATTGTTTGGTGTTGAGTTGTATGCGTTCTTTATATATTTTGGTTATTAACTGCTTGTCAGAACTGTTGTTTGCATATCATCTCCCATTTGGTTGGCTGCCTTTTTGTTTTTTTGTTGGCAGTTTCTTTTGCTGTGCAGAAGCCTTTGGGTCTGATATAGTCCCAGTCATTTATTTTTGCCTTTACTTCCCTTGCCTTTGGGGTCAAATTCATAAAATGTTCTCTATGACCAAAGTCCATAAGTTTAGACCTACGTTTCCTTCTTTTTTTTCTAGATAAAATTTTTTTAAATTTATTTATTTATTTAGAATTTATTTATTTTTTCAAATACCTTTGTCTTTGCCTTCCCCCCACCACTTTCTCCCACCTCCTCCTTCCCTCCCTCCCTCAACTCCTCCCCCTTTGCTATGTTTCCTCCTATGTACTTATATTGTTTCAAATGATATCTTATATTTACGTCTTTGATCCATTTTGAATTGATTTTTGTACATGGAGACAAACTAATCTAGTTTCATTCCTTTGCATGTGGTCTTCAAATTCTTCCAGTACCATTTATTGAAGAGGCTTTCTTTTCTCCATTTGTGTTTTTGGGTCCTTTGTCAAAAATTATTTACCCATATACATGTGCTTTTATTTCTGGGCTCTCAATTCTGTTCCATTGGTCAGTCTGTCTGTTCTTCTGCCAATACCATGCTGTTTTGATATCATAGCTTTGTAGTGTAATTTGAAGTCAGGTAGTGTGATACCTATGCCTTCATTCTTTTTTCTCAGGATTGCTTTAGCTATTTGGGGTCTTTTGTGGTTCCATACAAATTCGACTATTTTTTGTTCAATTCTTTTAAAGAATGACATTGGGATTTTGATGGGGGTTGCATTAAGTCTCTATATTGCTTTGGATAATAATGACCATTTTAACTATGTTGATTCTTCCAATCCATAAACACAGAATATCTTTCCATTTCATTGTGTTTTTTTCAAGCTCTTTAATAATGATTTGTAAGTTTTCAGTGTATAGATCCTTCATATCCTTTGTTGTTTATTCGTAGGTATTTTATTCTCTTTGTTGCAATTGCAAAAGGAATTTTTTTCATTTTTTTTTGAAGTTTCACTGTTAGTATATATTGGGTTGGCCAAAAAGTCCATTTAGTTTTTTCCATAAAATAAAGGACACATTTTTCATTTCCACCAATAACTTTATTGATTTGGATATTTTGAGTATGTGGTCTATCTCCCTCTATTGGCTTCCAGTGGGTAGAGGCCAGGGGTGCTGCTAAACATCTTCCAATGCATAAGACAGCCCCACAACAGAGAATTATTCAGCCAAAATGTTAATAGTACTGAGAAACTTCGCAAACCACTTTTGACATGTTCAATCAGTCACAGCACGTTCTCCATATACTGCACAAATCTGTTTTTGCATTTTAGTTGCATTTTTGCCTTTCTTGAAATACTAAAGCATAATATGCCAAAAATGTTGCATATTTTCTTTTTTATTATATTTTAATTTTTAAATTATTTATTTAAATTTATAAATCACGTTTATTGCATATTTTCTTCCATGTTCAATGTTGAAATGGTTGCACAAAAATTCACCAGTTCTGATAAGTTTTTTTTTAAATGCACGCTGATATGACAGCTGTCACAATACAATCTAACAAAATTGTTTCAAATGAAATTAAAGACAACTAAACACTACCAGAGCCATTGTATGGAAAAAATTAAACAAATTTTTTTGCCAACCCAGTAGAAAAGCATTGGATTTTTTTTACATTGATTTTGTATCCTGCAACTTTATTTATTTATTGTTTCTAATAGTTTTTTGTGGAATCTTTAGGGTTTTCTATTTACAGAATCATGTCATCTGCAAAAATGACACTTTTATTTCTTCCTTCCCATTTTGGATGCTTTTTATTTCTTTCTCTTGCCTGATTGCTCTGGCTAGAACTTCCAGTGCTATATTAAATAAGAGTGGTAAGAGTGGGCCTCCTTGTCTTGTTCCTGGTTTTAGAGGAAAAGCTTTCAGTTTTTTACCACTGAGTATTATTATAGCTGAGGATTTGTTGTACATAGTCTTTATTACTTTGTGATACTTTCCTTCTATACCTATTTTATTGAATTCTTACACGTTGGTCTGACCTTGCATGTATTTATTCTTGTCTCGAAAAGAGAGTAAGGGCCCAGGCTAAGCCCATGGCCAGTACTCGGATTCCTTCTCTGACTTATATTTATTTCCTAGAAAGAATTTTGTTAGATTGTAGTGTGACAGTTGTCATATCACTGTGCATTTAAAAAAAAAACTTATTAAAACTGGTGAATTTTTGAGCAGCTATTTTAATATTGAATATGGAAGAAGATATGCAACATTTTCAGCATATTATACTTTATTATTTCAAGAAAGGGGAACATGCAACTGAAACACAATAAAAGATTTGTGCAGTGTATGGAGAAGGGGCTGTGATCGATTGAACATGTAAAAAGTGGTTTGTGATGTCTTGCACTGAGGATTTCTAGGTGGATGATACTGCACGGTTGGGTAGACCCACTGAAGTTGATAGTGATCAAATTAAGACATTAATTAAAAACAATCATGGAAATTCAAGATGGCAGAGGAGTGAGTGGAAGTCACACTGACCTCCCAGGACCAATCTGGAATTACAACTAAACTGGGGAGAAATCACCTGGGACAAACAACTGAACAATAGCAAGAGAGGAGCCTGATAACCTCAGACAAACAGAAGAATCAGCTTTAGCACAACCTAACTGGTAAGGAGTGTGGTAGAGGCTCTAGAAGGTGGGCTGGGCGTCCATGGACGGCAGCACCACAAGGATATTGAAACAGCCAGCTGGATCCCCCTGAGAAGAGTGTGGTCTAAATCATAAGCAGGGATCTCCAGCCTACAGCACCAGAGCCCAAAAAGTACACAGATAACAGCCAGCTGTGAAAAGCGGCATGGTTGCTCTCTGTCAGAGACAGCAGCTGGAGATGCAAAGAGCCATTTAAAGGGCCAACGCATAAATTTTCATATGCAACCACTTACCCTGGGCTCTGGCAAAGGCAGGGGCAGAGTGTGCTGGAGATGCCTGAGGAGAGACTGGGGAAGGAAGCTTTGGGGAGAGAACTGAGAGAGTAGCCAGCGGGATCCCAGTGCTGACTATCCCCCATTCAGCAGCAGCCATCTTGCTCAGGCAGATCATGCCCCTGAGTGGCAACAACATGAGAGGACACAATAGCCCTGCCCCTAGAAGGGACTTGGCCCTGGCCTTGTAATGCTAAAGCCTGACTACTGAGTACAGGGTGGCAGCCACAGATAATAGATCCCTGGCTAAAGAGGGCTCAGAGTGGTCTAGAGACACTTGAGAGACTGGAGATGGAGCCTTTGGGGAGAGAATGGAGTGAGTAGCCAGTGCGATCCCAGTGCTGACTCAATCCCCATATGGTAGCAGACATCTGGCTCAGGCAGACCACTCCTGTGAGTGGCAGCAGTGTGAAAGGACCCAAAACCCTGTCCCCACGAGGGACTCTGCCCTGCCCTGTGCCGTCTAAGCTGGGCTGCTGAATGCAGAGTGACTAGATTAACGGCTGAAGGAGACAGCCACAGACAACAGATTCCTGGAAGTCCGAACAGACTGCCTAAGGTGAGACAAGGGCAGCAGCTGACATCATCAGAGGCAGATCCAGAAAGAAAAAAAAGCAGTCTCCTACTACAGAAGTTCACACCATGAATTCAGGATATCAAGACAAATCAATATAAGAAGCTGAATCAAAAAAGAAGAGGTTCACAAATAA